AAGCTGGGACCAGGAGAAGTGTCCCTATCTTCATCAAAATCACCTGAAATAATTCAATGTAGATCCATAAAAACATGCAATAAAGCCATGGACGAGATAGAGATCCATTTCACATATTCAGTCCCACTTTATGGCCCTTCTTTTGGCAAATGCTTTCACTTCATCCCGCTTAAATCTGTTGGAAGCATTCAAAAGAAATCAACCATTAAGTATTGTTCAAATTTGCACAAGGTACAACTGCAGATAAATAGGCTCCTTTTACGTACCACATTTTACCAAGTTTAAGACAAATAGCATCGCATGCTCAAAATAAAATGTAGGTAAATAGTGTTCCTCATCATGCTCAAAGTTGTTCACACTTGGAGGTCCCATAATATTATTCAGAAGTTCAAGGCTAAGAGAAGTCAGGTTTGATTTTGTTCTAGATTATTTGGAAAATAATGTGACAGTATCAAACAGGAAATCTATTTACCTTCAGCGCTGAGGATTGCTTAGACTTTTTCCTTCTTTTCCTGTGCTCATCTGGCTGGCTGCTTGTCAGGCTAAAATCTTGCAATGGGTGATATTTCACCGAAGCCAGCCTTCCCTTGGCTGCATCCAGCCTTTGTTTTTCAATTCTCTGCAATGATACATTTCAGTTTATAGGGAGCTTCTAAATGCACCACATTCTTTTTCCTCTCCACATTTTCTGTCCGCACTTGTCACCCAATTGAAAAATAAAAGGCAGATTTAGACTTACGAGGGCATTATCATATCCCGCAATTTGTTGTTCACAAAGTCTAAGATCCATCTCAAGCGCATTGATGCGAGAGTCAACAGGTACATTGCATTGCTGAACCATCTGTTTTTGCCTCCCCCGAACAATGTCTGGCTGCCACACATTTAATGCAACAGAAGCTTGCCTGACAGTATCGAAAGTATCACATACCAATAAGCTTACATAAGTGAATAGGGAATCACAACTTGGAAGTACGGAATGCTAGAGTTTAAAAACAAATAAAATCCCAGATAGTACAAGTTCGCATTTGGCAACAACGAATTGCAATCACGGTGTTCAGACCAGAAAGATTCAGTTCACATATGACATTGATCTTTCATGAATTCCAATTCCCTAAGCCGAATTGCACAAGTGGATCTTCATTCTGTTAAAACTCCAAGAGTTGAATCGTAACCAAACTAGAAAGAGGTTTCCTCCTCCTCCTGA